ATCTCAGGGCCAAGCCATCCCTGAAAGATCAAGGCCTCAGACACTGACAGGAGGCTGTGAAAGCGTGTCACAGCCTAAGGCTGCCATCTGAGTGTAGCCTTCCCCCCTTTCACCCCCGTCCCCTTGGGGTTCCTGCACAGAAAGTTGGCATGCGGAAGTAGCTCAGCAGCTTCCCAAGCTCTTGCCTCAAAGCACTGTCGGAGGTAAGGTTCACACATGGACCAGGCACACATGCAGCCATGCACACGTGGCCTTAAAGCACCACGTTCCTGCTTGAAGCGACAGCTGAAGGGAAGAAAAGCTCCCCGCACAGAAGCAACTGATGACAATTTGCAAGCAATGGAACGGCCTTGCCTTTGCTCCCTTTCCAGAGTTCTCACGCTCTGGCTNNGTTCTGGTAAGGCAGCGACGGCGAAGAGGCCGACCAAAACAGACAGCGACCCGATGCCGATGAAGGACACCCTCCATCCCTGCGGCTGTCTGTGTCTCTACTCCAGAATCAACAACAAAACTCCCTAGGACCATTCGGGGCACTGTAGGTGTCACTACTACCCGATTCACAGCATCTCGTCTCTTAAAATTGAGGGTGGCACGCCTGGGGCCCCCCATATTTACAGTATTCGGCCCACCAGGGGTTGGTTGAAAGCTTCCCACCTAAGGCACTGGTCCTAATCCTCAAATCCCGCACCCTTTGAAAGTCTAATATTGCTTCATTTTATTTTATTAGGAGATATGATTACCCATATGCGTGTGCATGTTAAAACAGTTTTTTGCTCGGAAGAAGTTCCGAAACGGCAATGTTACGCGACAACCCACGAAAACATCGCAAATCCTTGCGAGTGGAAAACCGGGGGGCCCCACAGCGATTCTTTCTGTTGAAATTCTAAAAAAAATCCGTTCTGCTTGTGAAAAAGTTGTCCTGTTTCAAATCCTCCGAGCCTCCGAGCATGGATGCTCGGTCCCACAATACGCACCGGGAGCATGGACGCTATGATCCCTCGTGGGTGTGGGTGTGGGTGGGTGCGGGTGGGTGGGGGTGCGTGAGCATGTGCGCGCGCGCGCGTGCCTGCGCGTGCGGGCGGGTCTGTCTTTGTCTGTCTCTGTCTGTCTTCCTGTCTGCGGTCCATCTGTCTTCGTCTGCCCGTCTGCCTGCCTGCCTGTCTGTGCATCTCTGTTTCCTTAGGTGTCTCTCAATGCGTAGATGTGATTCCACATGAACATGACTCAATGTGCCCGGCACAAAACACGTGCTTCTAGTACCTGGTTGACCTGTCCCAGCACTTCGCCTGCCAGCCCCAGACCAGCTGAGTGGATAGAGGTGTTCCGATGAGGCCACCTGCCTGAAGCAAGAGACGCTGTAAGGACCTTAAGCCGATTTTCTTCGGGCTGCAACTGTTCGATGCTTAGTCAATGGCCATCAAGCCAACGTTGGAGCACAACTGGACAAAGCCATAGACCTGAACAAGCTGGCGTCGCGAGAGGGGCTACCCTGGCCCGGCCCTATCCACCTTGCCTTGCCACGTCTCTGCTCCGAGGTCACATCGGCAATGACTCCATTGGCCACCGGTCGTAGAGAGGCCAAAAGAGCTCCTGGCCAGAGGTCAGTCTGATGCGCAAACGCGACTAGAAGCTAGGAGAGGGCGCTCCATTGAGTGCTCGTAGAATCGTCATCCCGACCATCCTGATCGAATAGTCTCTGCAACGGAGAGAATCGAAGACAACGCAGCTTCACAAAGAGCCAGGGGTCTGATCGACCACCGACAGCAACATGGTGACAAGTCCCTGCAGGATGCAGCCCATGATGATGATGGTCTTCCTGATCTGCTTGGGGATCTGCTTGCAGCATGAAACCAGAGCCGTGCAGTGCGCACCTCTTCAAGATTCCTCGATCGGCGATAATGCCCCAGAAGGGAGCCACTGCTGAAGATGTCACACCCTGAAGAAAAGGCCACTCCGACACTTCAATGATTCAGAATCGCTGAGTTTCGCTGATGAGCCTGGATGAGGGTCATGGTGGCAAGGTCATTCAGGTGCAGGCCAAGATCCGTCTGAAGTGCGTAAAACACTGCCTCGGGCATATCATCCACAGGCTTGCAACACACAGGACACGAAACCCTAAACCCTAAACCGAGGCTGTCTGTGGCTGGGTGTCCGGCAGGTAGCAGGGCCATGTCCGCTCCCTCCAGCGCGCTCACCAGGCACAGCGATGAAAGCAAGAGAGGGCCCTTAGAAGTCCGAGAAACTCGAGTCGAACAGCCATCCTGCTCACTGCAAAATACTGCAAACTGCGCCATGCATTGTTCTTCTCTTATTGATCAGAGCTTCTGCTTCTCGAATCTCGGCAAAAGTCTCGGAAAGGGCTGAGAGGTAGCTGATTGCACTGACCTTTGCTCATTGCATCTCTGAAGGAACAAGCTGCCTGTGTCTCGAGTCACTGACCCCAGACTGCTGCTTGTTAAAGCGACTTCCGCCGACCCCGACCACTGTCGTAAACTGCTCAGGCTGTGTCACAACACCTCGGTGCGGCGAGGCATCAGAGAGCGGCTGTGGCCTTCTTCGAATTTCATCGAAGTCCCAACCTTCTTGTCCTCCGTCGGTTTCCTGAGGCGGGCTGCACTGGCCGATTCACCCCAGGACACGTCGCAAAAACGGGCTCCCCGGCACTCTTCTCAGCAGCGCCCTTTGACATCTTCATGGCGCGTGGGCCTAGCACACTACAAGCTGGATCATGCTGAACTTCAGCAGAGCGCATATCAATTGCACTCCATGCATACTTGGCTCTCCACTGGAAGACGATGGCCAAGCACCACGAACTCAAAGCGGAAGCAGCTTGAGAAACAAACTTGCGAAAAGATTCGAGAATGCTGGCTGCCGCTGCTTCGGACGGTCTTGCTGCATGTACTTCAGACGAGCTTTGACATGTGTGCTTGACATGCTGTAGACTGACTGGTGCGCAGTCCGTAGATGCTGTGGGGTGCATAACTGCAATCGACTACATGGCAGGCACTCATGTGAATGCAGTGCCATACGACTACACCGTCCGCAGATGTATGATGTACCTGTCTCTCACCAGCAGTTGCACAATCTGAAGCTGACAGATGCACATAATTAGGATGAGCTTTGCCATGTGTGCCTCCACTGTAGACGGACTGGTGCACTGCTAGATGCGCACAGTCCGCATATGCTGCGGGCCCTCGTGGCTTACTGTCTGATTGCATCTACAGGTTTCTCGGGGATGTACAATGCAGCACTCGTGTCTCTCACCAGCAGTTGCATCCACATGCTTCCGCTGTAGACCTACTCTTGGTCCAGTAGATGCGCATAGTTCGCATATGTTATGATTGGGCAAAACGACAAGCCTCGCCCCATGGCTACTGTATGTAACTTCGGCACGAATACCTCTTGGGGCGAAGCACAACATGCCTGTCTCTCACCAGCAGTTGTGCAATCTGAAGCTGACAGATGCACATAATTAGGATGAGCTTTGCCATGTGCGCTTCCACTGTAGACAGACTGGTGCAGTAGTAGATGCGCAGAGTCTGCATATGCTGTGCGCAACACGACAAGCCTCCCTGTGGCTACCAGATGACTCAATGATTGCATGTTCCGCAAGTACCGGTCTTAGGGGGATGTACGGTATAATTACATGTCTCTCACCAGCAGTTGCACAATCTGACGCTGACAGATGCACATAATTAGGATGAGCTTTGCCATGTGTGCCTCCACTGTAGACGGACTGGTGCACCGCTAGATGCGCACAGTCCGCATATGCTGTGGGCAACAAGTGCAGGTCTGTGGAGGATGTACAATGTAATTATTTGTCTCTCACCAGCAGTTGTGCAATCTGAAGCTGACAGGTGCACATAATTAGGATGAGCTTTGCCATTTGTGCCTCCACTGTAGACGGACTGGTGCAGCGCTAGATGCGCACAGTCCGCATATGCTGTGGGCAACATGACAAGCCCCCTGTGGCTACTGTCTGATTACATCTTCCGCATTACAAGTCCTTTGGGGATGTACAACACACGCATTTCTGACCTGCAGTTGCACCATCTGAACTGGCATGAGCTTTGTCTCATCTGCTTCCACTGTAGATGGACGGTTGCGCCAGCATGCTCCAGAGAATACGCATGGTCGGCATATGTTGTGGGCAACATGACAGGCCTCCCCTGGCTTCTGTCTGCTTGCACCTTCCGCAAGTACAAGTCTTTGGGTGATGCACAACGTGCCTGTCTCTCACCAGCAGTTGTGCAATCTGAAGCTGCCAGATGCACATAATTAGGATGAGCTTTGCATTGTGCGCCTCCACTAGAGACGGAATGGGCGGCACTAGATGCGCACAGTCCGCATATGCTCGGGGCTCTCCCCTCTAAATCTACGACAAGCCTGTCGCTGACCAGCAATTCAACAATCGGAAGCTGACAGAAGCACATAATTGGATAAGCTTTGCCGTTCGTGCTTCCACTGTAGACTTGCTGGTGTGCCAGTAGGTGGGCGACATGACAGGCCCCCCATTGCCTACTGCATGAAGGTATCTTCCGCACCTACAGCCATTTGGGTACAATTCCGCAGGGGAGCAATCTCAAGGCGACGGTCGCACCAGACTTCTTGGCGACCTATCCCTGCCTTGTAATAAAATGACAATGACATATGTCAGAAAGACCAGCAAAGCCCGTGCGAGACTTGCGCTGTCTTGTGCTCCAGATCAATTTTCAGCACCTCTCCGTGATGAGTTAGGTTGCGGTTGACTGTAAATGTAAAGACTACGCGGCATGCATAAACCATGCATGGGTAGTTCTCTGAATTAGGGTCCCTTTTTGGGTCCCCAACACAGTACGGCACCCTTATACAAAGGACCCCCAAAGAAACTCTGATTTAGCGAACTACCCACATGAAGCCGTCGAAGTGCACCCCAAAAGCACATTTGGAATGCCCGCTCGGCTTCGAGTCCCTCAATGATCACCAAGGCCGCCAGCGCATTTTGCAGGTTCGGGTGCCAGCTCAGCCGAATGGAAAACACACTTTCTTCGATCCTTCCTCACTTGGATGTTAGAACACTCGTGAGCAACGACCAGAACCTCTCAGCTGCGCCCTTTTTATTTCGTAGCCGGCTGGATCTGGCTGGACTTCGTGTCCACGCTGTGCCCTTGCCGGGCCTCCCTCCGACCAAGCAGGGCGGCTGGCCTTCTCCGCCTCTGCCCTCTCACATGCACTGATACAAGCACTGGTATGGATCTCGTCAGCATCCACCTGGCGGCACGGCAACATGTTTGACCTTGCTCGGCTCAAAGTTTCCAGCATCACGGCTCAGGCACTAAGCCCAACACTTCTTGCAAGCGCAGGTCACCTTATTCTGCTCTGGCTCCCAGTGTCCCAGCAAAGGTGTCTGAGAAAAACCGACATCATCGTCTAGTGCTGTGTCTTGCAGAAATGTCAACTTCCATGCAGGCTGTGCACAAACACCTCAGCAACGACAAGCCATTCCGCCCAGCTACAAAGAAGGTTGACGGCTATCTGCCAGTGTCCAGCTTTTTCGGCCACGCTCATCGCGGCGCCAAAACCTGATCTGCAAGCATGGCAAGACTGACTGCGTGCATCGTTGGTTTGCGTCTGCTTCTTTGATCTGATTCCAGCATGACTACATGTCAAGATAGCCACAATCCCTATCTCCCCTACCATCTGTCTGCATAAGCACCACACAAAAGCATATATATATATATATGTATATATACACACATGTATGTGTATATATATATACATATACATATACATACATACATATAATTGGAACAAGGATAGATGCCCGGATAGATAGATCCAGGTGGCTAGATCTACATCTTCATGTGCTCTTCATGCTTCATCCAGTTGTCGATCTGCGCACTTGCTCCGCATTTACATATTTCTGGAAGGTTCTCCAGCTAAGCGGCATCGGTGAGAAGCCGCAAAGAATGTGCAAACATACGTGCATACATATAGACATACATGCATGCATACCTGCATGTATATCCATGCATCCATCCATCCAGCTATCCATCCATCCGTACTTTCATGCATACATACATCCATACATACATATCATATATATATATACACACACATACATGCATGTGTCCGTGTGTAGCATTCGGCTGCATGCCTGCATTCCAGTATGGACATACACATGTGTCTTTGTATGTATGCGTGTATGTAATGTATTGTAATGTAACGTAATGCCATGTCATGCAATGTCATCTAATGTAGTGTAGTGTGGCGAAGCGTAGTGTAGTGTAGTGACAGTGTAGTGTAATACAATGTAATTCATGTATGTATGTATGTATGTATGTAGGTAGGTAGGCAGGTAGGTAAATATGTAGGTATGTATCATGCCGTATGTCTGTCTGTCTGTCTGTCTGTCTGTCTGTATGTATGTACATGTGTATGTAGCGTAAGTATGATACAGTATGTATGTCATTATGTTGTATGCATGTATGTATGTATGTATGTATGTATGTATGTATGCATGCATGCATGGATGGATGGATGGATGGATGGATGGATGGAAGGATGGAAGTATGGATGTATGGATGGATGGATGGATGGATGGATGGATGTGTGCATGTGTGCATGTGCGCATGGGCGTGCATGATCGCGGGTGTGCGTGTGCACGTGCAGGCTGCACGGCACTCCAAGGCAACGACTGTAATCATGATCAATGATCAAGGTAACAGAGCTGTGAAAAGAATGCTCCACTTAGGAGACAAGAGAAACAAGCCGAGTCCACTTGCTGGCAGCGAAAATCACAGAACATGAACGACTCCCTTCATCTACTCGCCCCGAACAGGCCCGAAGACGATTTAGCCATCATCCTGAGTGTATAAATCCAGTTGCATCATGGCAACCGACAGAATCCGGAACGCTGAGCTCCCGCACAAGCTGGAGGCCAAAGCGCCACTCACTCGCCTTCTCGCACGATGTAATCGCTGCACTGAGGCTTGCTTTGTCGTAGCAACGCATCTCCCTCATCGCCTCCAGGCACAACTGCGCCGGCTTCCATTGGTGCCCCGCACCGTATGCACACATTGCACTGTTCAGCAGGATGAGATCGTAGATTCCAGAAGCTGCTCGCAGAAAGATTGCGCGATCCCAAGAACTTAACGCCCCGACTGCGTTGACGACAGGAGTGAGACTTGTCGGGGATGGCTTGAGGCTGATACATTGCATGCCCCGCAGCGCTTCCAGCAAGATGCCCCACTCGCTAGCACCTTCTAAGGCATTCATGTACGTGTTCCATGAAATCGCGTTCGTCTCGATGCCTGAGTCGACTGTCTCGTGTTGCAGCACCAAAGCACAAAGCCAGAGGCTATTGCTGGCGCAGCCGGCAACAGCGGCGCTTTGACCTGATCAAAAACACAGTCCCCGCGCAGTCCCCGCAGTCCCCTTCAGCAACTCGCAGCTGAGAGCCGAGCTGATCGTGTCTCTGGCAAAGTTCATGAGTAGTCCAAGAGCAGCTTGCCAGGCATTCAGCTGCCGCGTCGCACACGCAGCCACCACCTTGAGCAGATCATGCCAGATCTGGCCAGCACGTCAGAACATGTCAGAACTTAAACACAACGTCTACCAGCCCCTAAGTTCTCCCTGGTGGCTTTCACACATTGGCATGAGGGCCAGCCGAACATGACTGTCTAAGGATTCCCAAGACGGGAGGTCTGGCAGTCCCGATGCCATCTGACGCAGATCAACCCCTACCTTTGCAATTGAGCTGTTTGGATGACGGAAGGCATTGTGAGTGGGGTACAAGAGTACCGTATGGTACAGTCCTGGCATTTCCTTCCAGATGCTTTTCCTTTGCCGACCAGGCTTTTCCCTGCAACTGACCCAGAATTGCTGTGCTGCGGGAGCGTCCCCGGCTCGCTTCGGCGTGATGTGGATAGTGGCACTCAGCCCCGCAGAGCTCCTGCTGCAAGTTGCAAGTAGTGCCTGCAGCCTGCCCTGGAAGAAGTAGAGCCATCTCTGCCACTACTATAACTATATAGTGACAGGGAGAACGTCTGAAGCTCCGCTGGAGTAAGGCAAGCGCGGCCAAGCCACTGTATTGTAGCTGATGGTATCCTGGTGGATACGGAGGATGCCCATGCAAATCAATGCGGCCAGCCCGAACTGCCATGCATTCAAGTTGGTGCAGGTACTGATCAAAGCGTTGCAAACAAATTGGTTCACCCGCACGGCGGTATGGCCAAGCTTACTGCAAAAGCTCAGTGCCAGATCCCATCTTCCAGGATGTCGCAGGCTCTTCAACAAGGACGTGCAACTCATCTGATCCCCGTGGATCCTTCTTGTTGATAGGTGAGCTTGCGAATCCAAAGCCTGCTGCCACCTACCTTTCTTCGAAAGCTGCTGCAGGAGGGAAGTGTGCTCCACAAGATGGAGACATGACTGAGTCATCGCAGCTTGCTCACGGAGCTGGTGAAACCAACAGCAAATTCATAAATTCATTCAAAAGCCTCCATCCTTGAGCCGGGAGCTCCACACAGAGCCTGAGCCAAAAGTTCTGACGCCTTCTTTAGGAATGCAATTGCCTCACTCCTTTTCATGCCAGACGCTGGTATAGCCATGCCTTTGGCAAGGCGAATAAGGAAGCGTCCCAACTAAAACCTGCAGCAGAGGGATGTTTCCAAACAGGACTTCATTGCTCGCATGACGCATGCTGGCCTACACGACTGCATTGCGATCGGCATCGAATGCAGCTTGCCAGGCTTTTTCTTCTGCCTTGCGAGGCTAAGTGGCGATGTCGGGGCGCCATGGCTGCATGTTGCAATGAGTTTCAATAAAGTCAGGCAGCCTCCTTGAACTGTTTGCTGTTGTTGTGTGCTTGAAGTGCGGCAGGTGAGCGGCTCGACTGCAAGGCCATGTACCTGCATCCACAAACATCCACAAACAGACATGTTTAAATCTGATGAGTTTGGAGCTGGACTCGTTTCGAAGCAAACTCGGCGCACGCATTCTGGTGGTGCTGGCTTCTGTGGTGATCCCAGATTTGCATCCAGCTTCCCGATGCGTTGCAAAGACCGCAATGAAATCCTGGCTTCTGGTTCCAAGGTCATGGTGTTGTCGAAGTCTAGAGGAAAGGACATTTTGAACAATCGCCGCTGGGCCACGCTGCTTCACGATTTGCAGACCTTCACGGCGTAGCCGCCAGCCTGCTGCAGGCGCCATGCCAGGGCTCAGCCCAACGTGAATTTCAAGCCGGAGCAGGGCCAGATCGGTTTCGTTGCTAACTCCCGGCTACGACGGGAACAGCGAGGAGCAGCCCCCGTGGCCTCCAACTCGAAGCTTGTCCACCACCGCTTGACAGCTGGTCTTTGCTCGCATGTGCTCCTGAGCCTGAGGGCTCCCGTAGTCTGAGTCTTTGCACTGTGAATGCGAAAGCCGAAAGCAGGAAGGACTCCTGGCCTCTCGAGAAGTGCGATCCAAGTGCTCTTGGAGACTCTTCCTGACATGTGACAATCCTCTAAAGAAGCAGAGCACTGGCAGCAGAACACTCAGCTGCGGGCACTGGCTTGCAGCCTGGATAAGGGACTGCAGCCCAGCCCACTGCACAAAGACCAAGGAAGCAAAGAGTCTCTTAGGCAAGCGCAGAAAGAGCACCAGAGACCTCCTCTGTGTTCACCTTCCTCCCCAGGCCGGGTTCAAGTCGTTTGTATGCGGATCTGCAGTTCAGTCTTGAGTGAGGCTTATACCCCTTGAAAGCTCGAGGCTGAATGTAAGCGTTTGAAGCTACGAATCTTCAGAGGCAGAGTGTTCAGGCAGAATCTGGCCTGAGGAGCCAGTCCTTCTTGGAGGAGCGCTTGCGCAGACAAGGCATTGAAGACCTGGCAAATCCGAGAAAAAAACGGGATCTGCGATGCATACCGCAGGCAGCACGCCTCACGCGGCGTGGACGGCGACAGCTTTAGCGAGGAATGATAGGGCCTCACTCAAACCACTGCAGCTCTCCGCGTATCTCCGCATCCAGCTGTTGTGTTTACTGAAGGCGGCCTAACAGGCGTTCGACGTGCTTGTCTGTCGGAGTCGTCGTCAGTCCGTTGCAAGTCGCACGCAGAGTTGTTACACTCGATCCTTTTCAGCTGTCCTTCCTTGTCTTGAACACTGCGCGTCTCAGAATTGGCATGGAGGCAATGTCAAGTCCGACACCAAGTAAAGTCTTGCCCGGGACGAGGTGGAAGTGGCATGCGCCAGGGCAGGTCTGCCCACCTCTGCGTATCCGTCAGAAGGAAGCTCTCTCTCCGCTGTCTCCGCTGCCCTGCCAAGGCACTTCGGCTCGGGCAGACCACTGAAATAGATGGCCCTGTCCAAGCCCTGGAGCAGCTGAGCAGCTGAGTCCAAGGGACACAAAAAGTCCCTCAGAAAGGCGCCTCCTTCACACTCGCGAGCCGAACCGCTTTGAAGCAGGGCTCGAGCAGGTGCCAGAAGATACGGCAAACCTTGCCCGACCGTGCGCGCAGGGAATTGCGGATTCGATCCGAGACGAAGCTGGCTGCACCTCAACGTCTTGTTCCGCATCAGTATCGAAGACCTCATCAAAAGGCTCTCTTGGACAAAGTCTTTGTGACTGGATGTCTCGAGCATTGGGACCACCGCTGCACGTCGGGCTTCCTCAAGCCACACCTGCGGACGAACCGAGAAGGTGCGATGATCGATGGCCGGAGCTCTTCTTCTGCCTTCGACAGTGCGGCATCTTCGTCTGATGCCTTTCCTCCCGACGAGGCTGGCAGCCTGGGTGAAAACTCCGTCGCAAATATTCGAAGATCACGGCTGCCCTTGGGATGAGTGCGGCTTGAACTCTGGCTGCAGCCCGGCGGCATCGCTTGTGCTGACAGCTCTCGTAAAACCTGGGAAAGACCTTGGATATCATGACATGTCATGGGACTTATTGGGGGCAGGTCAGAGGACAAATTTCCAACACAAGGTTGATAGCGACCGCAGGCCGTTTGCAGTGGCCTTAACCCACGCATGGCCGTGTATGCACGTTGGGAGGTGTGTTTTTTTGTCTTCTATTTTCTAGGACTTCAACTGGCTCGAATGCGGTGTGTCGTTCAAAAGTAATTAGAAGGGGGGGCTGCTAGTGCTCTCATTGTGTTCAGGTCTTCATGTCAGGGTCGCATGTGTGTGTTCTTCGCGTTGTTGGGCTTTGTGTGTGTTGTGTCCCAGCTTGCCACAAAGGCCGCAGCGCTTTGTCTTGTTGGCCGGCATGGAATAACACCACCAAAAGAAGTACTCGCTTGACCCGACAGCGACTGTGGACAAACGACTCTTTAAGATAGCTCCAACATGCCTGTCGCCAGCCCCAACCCCCGGGTCCCGGTCCCCCCGAAGAAGGCGGCATTGGCGATAACAAGGAGTACCAATTCAGAGAAGCACGAAAATGATCGAAAATGCAAGGAAACACTATCGGAAAACATGTGGCGAATGTCAGAAGTCTCTGGCAGACAGCACCCTGAACCTAAACCCCTCAACTCTAGACTCCAAACCTTTGCAGCTCACATCCTTTCCGTTTTCTGAGTCGGTTTGATCGAGGGTTGGCTTTCCGTATTGGCCGAGCCTTCTCATCAAATCCTACCCGACTCTGCCATCCTCTGCCTCTCTGCCAACCTTGGCCTTGTACGTCTTGATCTTTTTATTGGGTTGTGACGCATGATGCGAAAGTCTTGACTAGTGGAGATCTGGCAGGTTGGATCTGCACAAAAACATGCACAGCGCGTTTCATGTTTGACACACAGACTCTGGTGCCTGCAACTACTGTAGGCAACTGGGAGCTCTTGCGTTGGTGAATCCCCGACCATGTCAGAACCTTGTCCGCGTGAGCAGCTCCCGCAAAGTGTTCCAAACCTGCACAGCCAGCTGCCAGCATGATCATGAGCATCCCGAGCTGTGCACCAAGTATTTGGGCGATATGATTCAGAGTCGGCCGCATGAGTAATGCAAGCACGATGTGGATGCTGAACAAGCAGAAAGCCTTGCCTCTCTGCCCGCACAGCAGGCACAGAGGCTCCCCTGCGAGTCATAAACAAGCAAATGCAATGCTTGTACCTCTGGCAAAGAACGGATGCCGCCATGGGCTGCTAATGCTACCAGCTACCTGCTACCACTGCTACTCCAACAGCAACAACAACCAATTTGCAATTGGACGCTGCGCGAGCGGACTCCACGCTTAGCGGGCAATTACCGCGCTGGCACTCGTAGTGAAACCAATAAGAGAGTTCGGCATTGGCATGACTGGCTTCTGGGATTACTACTTGGCTCGGGGACCGAACCACGTTATGCTGCTCCGTACGGTGTTCGCCGACAAGCACTTGAGGTCAACTGACTCATCTCCACCGTGCAGGGTTGCCTGCGACGGCTGCCCCGTCTCCCGGAGGACCGGCGAGCACATGAGAGAGCAGAAGGACCTTCACATAGCAGGACCACGGTCGAGCTCAAAGGGAAGTACCTGACAGAGATCCGAGAACTAAATGTGCTCTGCTCTGGCAGTTGGGCTTCACTCGCTCCTGGCATGGAGACTCTTTTTTGCATGCGGGAAGAAAAGCGCATCGCAACGGAGTGACATCTTGTGTCTTATCCAAGAAGGCGTGCGCCTCCGAGTCTGCATCCATGGGCCGAGCCTCCTAGTACAAGTGTTTGGTAGAGTAACCCGAGGCTCCTTGCTACCGCTACCAGCCGCGATTTCCCCAGTTCCAGGAGCTGGAAGAAGAGGCTCCCCACTCTTCGCGTTGCCACCATGGTCGATCCTCCCATTGTCGTCTCGGCCAGCTGCTTTCGTGTTTTCGTCTCTTTTCCGAGACTGGCTCTGAAGCGTCCGATTGACGCTCGTCGGGGCGGATATACTTGAGCTTGGCCTTCGTGTCCCCCAGCTTATGGTCAACCACAAGCACAACCACAACAACAACAGCGAAAGCACGACAACGACAACGAAAACGACACGGACAACAGCTACAACTACAACTACAAATTACTACTTCTGCTACTACTGCTACCACTACTACTACTACTACTACTACGACGACGACTACTACTACTACCACCACCACCACCACCACCACCACCACCACTACCACTACTACTACGACTAATAACAACAAGCCTACTACTACGCAAAACACAAGTACGACCACTCCTACTCCTACTCCTCCTACTACTACCACCAGCACCACCACTACTAACTACAACTACTAACTACAACTACAACTACAACTACGACTACAACTACAACAACAACTACTACTACTACTACTACCAGCAGCACCACCACTACGAACTCCTATTACTACTACACTACTACTTCTACCTCTACTTCTACTTCTACTTCTACTTCTACTTCTACTTCTACTACTACTACTACTACTACTACTTCTACTTCTACTTCTACTTCGACTTCTACTACTACTACTACTACTACTAATAATA